TTCATCCAGCAAACGCATTGTCACAAATGAGTAAAACTTATGCCTGATCTTTTTAAGTCGTCTTGCGTTGATATCATTAGAGCATTTTAACACGACGTCGATCAAATATACAAAAAGTGTACTATAACACATGACCCTTTGGTTTATTAATGTCCAGCTCTACTACGAACTGGCTGAACCAAGCAACATGTCCAAGATCTCCTGCCGTATCCTGTTTGCCAGTTTGGGTGTCCCCACCTACGTCTCCTGCATCCTCATGCTTCTAATCGCAGTTGATCGTTATCGTAGCATTATATACCCTTTGAGGAAACGCATATCCACCGGAGTGGCCACTATTCTCCTTCTGGCAAGTGTCCTTCTCAGCGTAATTGCTGCGTCGCCAGTGGCCTACTTCACGGACGTACAAAAGGTTTTGCTAAAACTGGACTCCTTCGAGGAAGAGCCGTACGACGGCGAAAAAGGTGCTCAGTCTACCTCATCTGGTAAGCAGAGCTCCGGTCTTGCATGTGTACACGCCTATGCGTTCGCGTGTCTAGGCTGCTCAAGCCAACGTTCTGCATGCGTAATAGTCCTACCGCATACTGCAAGTTGTCAGCAGGCATTTCCTCCTTTTGATAGTTTGGGCAAAATTTCGATCCGAATCTCCTCCTCGTTCGCATACCTAACCCTTACCCCGCTTTCCTTACTGCACCCTTAAACTGCAAACTGTTCAAGAGGAAACTTTTAGTATAGCACTAGGATTACCAAGATAAATGCAACATCAAAATTCGACTGGCGAAAAATAATATAATTTGCTATGGTAGGGGGCGCTCACCGATCGTTCCTACGGGACTCACTCGTTCTGTTGTGCCTTAAGCGCTCTCTCTCCAGCCCAACCAGCAGCCGCACAGCGGCGCACGATATAGGCAGAATGGAATTACCGACAAAGACAAGGGAGACTGGAGTGGCCATTTCTGGCTTATTAGCCATTGTCAGCCAGCCATGCCCAACTCCGAAGTGTGCAACACCCGAGGTTCGAACTCGCGACCTGTTATTTAAAAGCCCACGCCTCTAACCACTGGGCCACGAGCCCGTTGCCTTGTCGGTTTTCGATCGGGAATATACAATGGTAGGGGCGCTCACCGTTCGTTCCTACGGAACTCACTCGTTGCGTTTTGCCTTATAGGCTCTCTATTGAGCCCAACCAGCAGCCGCACAGTGGCGCACGATAAGGCAAAATGACATTACTAAAAAGACAAGGGAGACTGCAATGGCCATTTCTGGCTTGTTAGCCGTCGTCGTTTATCCATACCCAACTCCGACGACGGCAATAGGCTAGAAATGGCCAATCTAGTCTCCTTGTCTTTGCAGCAATTTTTTAATTTAATCATGTTATCCTACGACCAAACCCCAAGCAGTTTTTGCACCGTCTTGGTTCTGGCATGGACCTGTTGCGTAAACTGCCCCTTTCCTTCATTTATCGTTTGACTACAAAAACTGTTAATTTGCTTTCGCATGTTCAAAATCCTTGATAACGAGCTGTTGTTAGAGTTCAATAGCTCAGGCCTGTAAACCAACGGTTCTAGCGGTAACTCAGTTATCCTACTTGAAAAGGCATATTTTTGGCATCATAATATTATAACTCTTTTCGCGGTGAGCATTAATCTGTGAACACGTTTGCACACCTGCTTGTCAGACGTATGTTTTGTTATTTCAGATTAACTTTTATATATACTTGATTAATGCTAGACCGAATCCGTAAATATAACCAAGAACCATTGCTCCTTGCAACAGTCATTTTCAACATCAACAATGACGTTGTACTCAGTCTGCAGCATATTAAGCATATGATCTTGCATCTAGTGCTCCCTAACTATACTATAAGTCATTATTGGAACTTTGGCCACAGACGCCAGAAGTGGGCAATCAGTGGGATACAGAATGATTGGCTCTTAACTTACGCGTACGGCAGAGCTTTGGTAGAGGTCATGTACTAAATGGCCCAAAATAAAGTTATCGTTTATTCACATACCAGAGATTCGTTAATATATGTCACTGCAGTACGCCTGAATATACTCAAAACGTCTGTTATAAATAGCTTGCATGGACTGATGATGGCATTGACAAAAACTTGACTCGGATTGTCAAAGGCCCATATTTTGGCATGCGCTTGCTTAGTGTTATTGCCAGGGACCTTAATACCTAAAAGTGTTGAACTTTTTAATGCCTTTGTTCGCAAACTGGAGCATGCAGCTGTTACAATTTTTATTTAAAAAGTAGACTCATTTTGTGAACAATCTGGCGGCAAACTTACAGTTAATGGGAAAACTCATAAAATGTCACCCTAAAGTCCGAAATAAAATTTAGTTTCCAAAAGATTACTTAAGTAGGGTAGTAAAAGTAAGCATTGTGCTGCGTAATTCTATAATAATTTAGTTACCTGAGCATTTCGGCCTTCCAATGAACATTTTGTAGGCCGCATGCCAAAACTATACCCTCGCAAAAATGACGACTAATGTAAAATGCATTTTGCTCATTGATTTTCGATGCCATTAAATATTATATTATATTTCTTAGAAAACATGCATTAGAATGCACATTCTTTTGCTTATTTGGTAGAACTTTGCCTCAACTTTAGATGATATACTCGATGGAAGGGTATAATTGCGTTTTCAAAACCTCTTCCAATTCCTTAATAATTTTGAACTAGACCTGCCGTTACGCTTGCATTCAGAGTGTCTAATGTACAAGCCGTATATTTTCCACGTACGGAAAACAAAACATTTGTCCTCAGTACTAAGAAGATACTATATGGATTTCATACAATGTAGCAGTGGATTTGAGCCATATTTAAACTTTACAGGCAACACTAGTAAGTTCAGAGCCAAGATGTGCTAGAAAAGGATATTATTTTGTCAAAGAAACATTCGGTTAGCCAAAAATATTATAACTAATATGAAAAACGGAGCCCGCATTTTGTAAAAATTTATTCCCACAACATCACACGTTTAGTTTGCTAACATCCAAATTACGAATTAGTCAAGGGTAATTTACCAACGAGGAGAGGCGCTTTTGTGCACTTAACATCATAGTAATTGGTTCGGCTGATAAACGGTTTACGAACAGTTGCAGTCTCTGATTTTTCCCCTTCTTAGTCAGAATAAATCCTAGATATTTGATCTTGGTCTTATAGTCGACATTGAAACAAAAATAAATGTGCAGTCGGACGCATCAGCCATTTGATAAAAGTTTATACATAAATTTTCTAACCTGTGACTACAGTTATAGACATGGTCTGTATGCTTATGTGCAATGCCTTATAGCCCTGGATACAAAATGGACCAAAAAATATAATCAATTAAAATTAGCTGTTAACAGTACTTTAGCTTATAGTAAACAAGATAGATCACATTGCGGAGTAAATAAAGCTTAATTCCTTCGGTTTAGCAGACCGCTTTACTTTACTTGGGGCATAAGAAGAAAGTGGTGTCCGTAGCGATACTACTGACCTCTTATTACATGCAGTTAAATTAGCTGGTTAAGTCAAGATAAACAAAGAATTTTGTGCCATTTTCGCAGTCCATATCACATTTCTGTCAGCAGTCGAACAAATTTTCGCGCTTAATTCATCGTAGTCTTGCGAATGGCCAGTAGGATACTTGGCTGAATTAAGTGACTCAAAAAATATTCGAATGCGCAAATTCTAACTTTGGAGAATTTAATCTTGTGCCGAGAATGAAAGTTCTTATTAATTCTAAAAAAACTAGTCGACAACTTTCAATGCTGGGAATCTCTCGTCACCCCTTCTAAAACTGAACTGGTATGTGATGAGCCTCAGTCGTGTTTCCCTAGGGAAAACGAATATATTATTGCCATTTGTGACAAGAAAATGGCTTATGTATAAAGATCGTAACATATCAATACTCCCTATAAAATGGTGGTTTTGTTGTATTTAAAAAACTTTTGCTGCATAGATGTTTGAACAGAATGCGCACTCAAAATCGTTTTCCGCTGTTGACGTTATAGTTTCTGCCAGAGGGAGTAAGTTATATATAGAATGTTTGCGATAGTTTAAAGTTAAGCAATATTTTTATGGAAATAATTCTGATGAATTGTGTTTAAGATACACATTGCATCTGACGTTAAATTTCCTAGAGTCACCGTTTCTGCAGTTGGTGTTATATGCTAAAATTTCAGCACTTTAAATTAAGCCGATTACTCACTTACTTGTCCATTTACCTTTGTTGTTCAGGCATGTCACACATCAAAACCGAAACGACTAAGAATGTTCGAAGGAAGACTATAATCATAAAGCCAACAAAGTGCTCTAGTGCATAAGTAGAATAAAAATGTTGATTTTGCAGCTTTTAAAATGATTCAGCTTATTTACCTTTTAATTTAAGAAACCTTGCAGTCATATGTCAAAAATCAGTATGTCATGCATACGTTGGTTCCCTAACTAAAGCTCTCTGAACGCTAGAAGTTTCAATTTCCCATATGTATATAACGCATGTGAGTGATCATAAAAGGTATATATTGACCTCCCTCACCAGTGTCAATTATTGCTTGTTTTTGATAAGTGCAAAATTCAAAGAGGGCTTAAATCAGAACGCGTGCTTGAAAAACAAGGAGGCACAGTTATTAAATACGTTCTGTTTATTAAATATTTTAGAAGACGCGTTTCCACAGTACTGTGTTGAAAGATGGCCAGATCCGGAATCCCGACTTGCCTACACTATCCTCGTTTTCTTTGGAAATTTTTTTACGCCCTTGGTCTGCACAGCAATTCTCTACATGAATGTGGGTTGCTGGTTGGCGCGCCACAGTAGCCATCTACAGGGAGGTACCCCTACTGACACCGGCGATAGCAAGCATCAAGGTGGACAAAAGAGAACATCTACTTTTGAGAATGTGTCCCCTGTACCGGATTCGACTGACATCCCGCTGCACCATTTCGTCTCCGTTGAAACGTCCTGTTCGCCGACCAACACTAGAAACAACTCACAGACTCGTGTACTGCCACCACTGGCTTTGCGTATTGAACGGCGCAATCGTCGCACCAATCGTATTCTTGTAAGCATTGTCATCTGTTTTGCCGTCTGTTGGACACCCTGGACACTGTATTCACTGTACCTGGAGTGTATCGCCTATAGCCTAACAAAGATGAGTAGAGCCAGACTGTCTGTCTCGGACGCTGGAATTGGAAGACCTACTGGACCAGAGTTTAACGCGTCTGCATTGAGTACTGCAATCGGCAAGAATTTGTTGCGCAGTCAGCTGCAGCTAAAAAATGCCAATTTAAAGCTGACGGATATATTTCTGAAGGTGAGTATATGCGGAATCTGCTGTTTTCCTTTGAGGCGGATAGGGAACTTTGTTATGACCATAGGCCTGACAAAGTGAATTTTCTGAAAATTTGTCTTCAATGCCTATTACTTCCTTTAAGAATAAAGTCAACCTATGCAAAGCAGATGTGGTGTTTTCATTGTTCTTAGATAAAGATTTCCTTCGATTGCGCGCATTGTTATAGATACGCTCCGCTTGATTTTGCTTCCAAAATATATTGTCAAAACCTGTACATGCGTTTAAAAACATTACCTGCATACAGAGTGCCGTCATTTTCCGCACTTTTGGGGCACAACAGAATAAAATCCTGGACTATTTACTAACGGTCATAAACAACTTATTTGCACATCCAAAGCCATTTTGTAACTCACAATACAGTTACGTCTCCAGCGCGGGATATTTGTCACCGCCATAGTCGTCAGACGGTTTTGTTTCCGCATGTCTGGACCTTGATTTTGTAGCAACGGATACTAAGAAGAGATAAATACGTTAGAAATGTGGCATATATCTATATGCGTAAAGTTTATAGTCACGCGTATAATCGATAGTAACTGACAAACGGTATACCACTTTAGCGTAAAAGACAGCAGTGTCTCCGAACATCATTATTTTTTTCATCTTTTGATTAATACGGTGTACATTATTTTGTTGTAACACAAATATAACGAGTGATTTGTTAAAAAAAATTATTTTCTTTTTTAGCTGTTCGCATTATGTTCAACCTGCACGAATCCCTTCTTTTACGGCTGGCTAAATGAGAATATTCGCGTTTTTCTTTTATGTAAGTTTACTGGAAAGGAAAGTCGTGAACGGTCCTTCCGGACTTCACTAGCAAGCGGCATCTGTAACAATTTCAGAAAACAGGACCATATAGATCTCAAAAGTGATAAGAAGATAAGCAATGACAACGGCCGAACCGCAAAATCAAATCCCGTTGCTGATGACAGTCCTCCTAAGTTTCTTCAACAAACCGACCTCTAGGTGTTTTTACAGTTAAAAACGTTGACATTGCCTTGTTTGGCAGATGGAAGGCAAGAATATTTTTGTAGATTATTTGTAACTATACTGCGTACACCACACATTCCACCAAGCTAACGGAAACAGTATTCAAAACTTACGCATATTTTGTTTTGATTTCATATAAAGAAATGTAGCCATTGGAATTATATGTTTTCATGGTTTGTGGCTAGTCGGCTGTAAAAGACTTTTAAGACAATCTAGCATATTCGGATAAGAAAGCCAGCGTCCTGTTGACTAAGGCATTGTGGGTATGCTGTTTGTTCTACGTGTGGAATTTGTTTTGTGATATAAATTAGGCTGCAAAGCAATGTCTTTGTTGTCTAGAATTTTCCATGGAACGTCTACTAACAGTCAAACGTGGCATGCCAGAAAAGTGATTAAGACGTTCAGGTTAACGAATCCACAAAAAACAAATATCCCGAGCAAAAAACGCCAATCGAAGGAGCCGTTTAATAGTTTGCTATGGTAAGTCATAGCAAAATGCAAAAACATTCCGTGAGAACTATTTAGTAAGCTTTTAATGGCAACTTAAAATGGCGGTTCTCAGTCTGCCTCAACGACTAGATCTCACAAGCCACAATAAAATGCGATGTTGGCGGTTGCGTTTGGCGGTTAACTTGACTATAACCTTAATCGAACAAAAACCTGCGCCCTCTATAGAAGTTTCGAGTTCCCCAGAGATGCCATGCTTTTGCACACATGTGCTTAGTCAACGTATTTAATACCCCGAAATGGTTATGAAAATTAAGACGCGTAAATGCGATCAAATAAACGTCAGTTTGTTAAATTGTGATCTTTGTTGTGTGAATAGTAAAAGTTTCGGGCGTATGAAATACCTTTTGTCAAATAATCCAAATTTACTTATTCTTCCAAACGTGATGGTTAACTTTGGTTACATGCGTCTTCTATACTTTGTAGGTAATGACATTTTTGTATCCATTATTTGCTGCTATATGCGCTACATTAACGTTATTTTAAAAACCATTTTGTTCATCTCAGAAATACTGCAAAGAACCATTTTTGATTTTAGTAATACACAATGACGCATAGATTGGGAAGCCTACTGAGAGAAAACATTATCTACATTGCCCTTTTTTCAAAACGCATAAATGCCTGGCAAGCATCTGCATATTACAAGTCATATGAGCGCGTTCCACTTAAATGGCTGTTGTTTTTGCATTACAAGTCGTTTTATCAATCTAGTCTTGTTGGTCCAAACAGAGTTCCCGTTAGGGCTTCCAGTTGTTTGTTAGCAGTCCAGTGACACCATACAGTGCGCCTCTAAACGAAATCCAGTTTAAATTACTTTTCTTTTGATAAGTGCATTAACAGTGTTTTTCTGGAATGAAGCTCTGCAAGGGTGGCGAAGATAACCGGAAAACCCTAATACTGCACAAGTTTCATTTCCGTGGATGGGAATCTTTTAGCAGTTTTAATGCTGCTCTGAGGAGTACAAACAGTCTGTGGTATTGGTTGCCGTAGAATATTAGAAAAGGCCAGAAAGTTGAATCTCAGATTGCTGTTTTGTTCAACTTACTGCAATGATTCCCTATTATTAATCAGGATATTTCTCCTCTTACGCTGGATACTGATGTGTAAACCTCAAAAAACCTACAAACGCAAACTGTCCAAACTGGCCGGATTGGGTGTTATTGTCTGACGCGTAGCATGAAGTCGAGATAACCCAGACGGATAACAACAAATAAAATAGAAAGTTTCCTCCCGTAGAAGTTGCCCTTATTAAAATTCTTGACACCAGAATGCTACATTTGCGAAGGCGCTCTAAGTTAAGAAATAAACCCATACACGGCTTTCAGCTCAGGTATGTCAAAAAAACAAATTTTATTCTTAAACGTATAGAAAACGGTATCTGTACTAATTTGGCCACCGATCTGCGTATTATGCGGAGACATCCGCGCAATAACCATCATATGAAAGGGTTAGAAAACACAATGTTACTTCTTACACTTCCACATATGCATAGGCACTCGCATATGAGCAACAGCAATTTTCGATATTGCCTATAAACACTAACTGATACCAAGAGACCTTAACGTCGTGTTATCAATCGCTGCGTGTGCCGATGGAACCAACTATACTTCATCTGAAGGGTGATAATTCAGAATTGTTTGAAGCACAGTCGGAACAAATCACTTTTTAAGCGTTAATTTAAATAGGATAGAGTGTCATAAATGAGCTCTTCTTTTCTGATGCTGGACGCACTGAAAGGCAAATATACTCAGATACCTAACAATTTCTGAAGTCTATAGGCATATGTCGCCGAAAAAAGCCCCGTTTTGCATTATTTTAAAATTCCGCACAACATGTGCGCATTTTGGCACACAACTTGAAGTCGTGAATTTATAAGACGTTTAATTATCAATAAAGCGTATTGTACACGTTCAAGTTAGCCCAAAGGCACTTCCAGATGAGCCTTATGAAAATGACGACATTTTGCCATTTGTTGTTTTTGGCAGAAATACAAACAAACGACTGACAGCAGTCTGTAATTTGAAATAAAATGAGCATCTGGTGACTGTCTACCATTAAAACGATAAACAAATCGTAGACGTTAAAGCCCCTCCTTAACCTAGTCAGACTAGTTGCACAACCTTCTTAAAAATTCCAAATCGCTAAATGTTTCCCTCTGCTCTTGGGTTAGCCAGAGACACTGTTAATCCGCTTAGGCAATAAGTTATCGCGACGACTGTGGGTGGATCGGAGTTCAGACTTGACGTCCACATAAGCACTCATCAAACAATAGATCAGATGGACATCCTGGATGATTGCTTCTGGTCCTACTCTATAAGTCCACACGAGCTATGCCCTCAAGACTAGCGTACATATGGGTGTGAAAGGTCTGATATGCCTAGGCAAGATGGACATGATTGAGTGGTAGTGTGTCCTAAGACCAGACCCGTGTTTCAGTAGATCGGATTGGGAACTGTTGCAGCCCTAGACGACATTCATGTAGAAGTCAGAGCTATGACAGTTGCTCTAATCTTTCCTACTATAGGGCAAATCGCAATTGACCTGATAATGAAGAGTCATATCGTCATAACGTACTGTACTCCGACAGCTCCATCGTTAAAACTGATTGAATATAGACTTGGTTCACGAGGTGGATGCGGTTGTACACTGCGCAAAACAAAATTTTATTGTAAAATTGCATTATATTGCATTGCATTAGGATTAACATCTAGTCGAAAGAAACGGTTATACACATAAGCGCAATGCCGGACAAATTGTCAGTCCGTCTACGAGAGCCGCATATGACCCCCAAAGCCGGAGGACTTTTAGCACCGCATATGATGGACTTCGATTGTGGAGACGTTTGATTTATTCAACAAGTTAGCAGTCTAAAGAGTGACATCATCAGATGCATTTCAATAAACGAACAACTGCAATTTTAGCATCTCATGAGAGAGGATGATCAAGCACCGATCCTGTCTCAATGTGTCGTTCCAGCCTGTCTAGAGACAGACGGTATAACCAGGCACAGTCAGTGAACGCTCATCGTTTGCCAAACTGGTACAGACACCTGCACCGTCGCTCACTCAATATTCCCAATGATGGCCGACTGCACAGCATCACTGACTTGTAAGCAATGGGCGAAATTATTTTAAACGCGCATAACCAGTGTGGTCAAATGGGTCACGGCACATGGCCTATGGCAGGTTCTTAAACAGTGATTGGTGGTATTCTAGTGCCTGTTGTGCTTTATGTATATTTGACCGAATAAACACATGCGTTAGCTGAATATGCAAGTACAGTGTGGAAAGAAAATGAAAAGCGCGATGCGGTTTGCAGGAGGTCAAGCTCTGGTGTCCAAGAAAGTCAGTTCCATGTTAGACTGTGCGGTTACAACGGAAACGTGTCGGCCTAGTTGGTGCATTGTATGAGTTATAAGGGTATCGGTCCAGAAGGGACCGAAACGAAAACTGTTGTCTCGGCGACGGCGAGTAGGCGGTGCAATTCACCCAGTGCAAGCATAGAGTTATTCGAGACAGGGGCACTGAAATGTCGCCATGACGGTGAAGAAGTTAGTGTGTAACAAGAACTATGCGAACCCAAAACAGGCGTGAGGAAAAGGGTGCCTGTTTATAAAAGCCGAAGCCTAGTTACAACCTGCGTCGTTTTTTACTGGCGTTTGTTTCCATTAATGGTATGGCCTTAATACGGGTTTGGAGACCAAATATACTTAAATAGATTTGTCTATACAAAATTAATGCGTCCTCTTTAACGCCAGAAATCAACCAGGTTTTCGGGCCAGTTTATTCTATGCACAGTGTCGGTTATCGTGAATTTTGTTAAAACAAAACGTCCGCCCAGGGGCCCGTTAGTCGCGCGGGGGTATTTTTTTAAGCTCGCTAGACTTCTCCGTGCCAGCATAAGCAAGTCACTAACTAAGTAGAGGAAAAGTGATTGGTTGGTTCAAGGGTTAAGTCTGGGTGGCGCGTTATCCCGAGGACCGAAGTCACGTCATCCGAAACTCGTAGGATGGTGTCGGTGTATGAGCCCAGCCGGAGCGCAGCAAAGCTGAAAAATAGGTGCCTCAGTTCACGCCCGATGCGCGGCCGTGCAGTGTTTCTGCAGAACAGTACAGTCGTTACAGACGCCGAAAAAATGGTCGCTGGAGAGGCTGCGACAAGAACGGATCCATGCTTCTCAGTAGTGTGCAGGCGACTTGAAGACCGAATGATTAATTCGTATACACCTGCGGGCCTCGTGCTTTTTGGTTCCTCTCACCCTGAGCTACCGGAACAACGGCCCTACTGACATCTCTTCAATAAAAGCGTACACAACATTTTCGT